TTTATTATGTTTGACCTAGATTGTACAGTCAACGGTGTCACGAACTGTTTGACGCTGACTGTACACAGTTATCAAGCCATACAATGCTTAGATATTGCAATTTAGCTTGATCTCTTAACTGCTGTTTCATATAAATTAGAGATCTTGGTTAATTGGACAGTTGAAAAACACAAAGTTGCTAGTTTTCTGCAAAGTTACCATATTAGTACAGTTCATGGTGTAAGAGACATACAGGGTCTGTTAAATAAAAATGAAATGGGTAACCAATGTGTGTTAAAAAGGACAACAATAAACTACTTACTTACTCGTATAGGTATTTAAAAAAAAATAGAAGTTCGTGGTTTTTGATTGATTTTAGTTTTACAAAAAGTATGATGGATTTGTAGAAAACTAGGAGGACCACACAACTGTTGTTGTTGTCACTTTGTCACGGCACAAGTCACGGTGTTTAGCTCGTGCTACCAGTGCTACGGCCCTAATTGTTATATCTCAAAAGCTCATCTTGTACTCTAGAAACATGGTTTAATTTCATTGTATTACTACAATGAACACTTGTATGTAATGTAGTACTACAGGGCTGTACTTTCTTCAGTCTAGTTCTAGTTTTAACTGAATTAAAAACCGAGCAAAGGAATTACGCCTATACAGCTTTGAGTGATTAAAAAAAAAATTTTGGCGGGTACTGCATCTGCGAATAATTAGATGTGGCGTGTCACGTGGCACGCGCCGGCGCGTGTCGCGTCGTGGCGTTATGACGCGATTTATTTATGAATATTGTTTCGGCCGCCAAGTGGATCGGCGACGCGTGGCGTATATCCGATGGATAACATGCACTTAGAACACTTTTGAATCTGTTTAACTGCCGAGGTTGTTGGGTTGGTTATTGATTTTAATATCCCCTATCTTTTACAACAATGAGGTTCATTCTACTAAAATCTCTATAAGCTCATTTCATTATTAGATAGCTAGACGACAATACGGGAATGGTACTTATTCGGTAATTTTGAAAAAGTATTCTTCATTTAAATTGATCTTATATTATTGTAGCTCAAATAAGGTAATGGGTAGGTAATTGATTTTCATAATGTTAGCACACATGCAGGGAGCAACGAGCGATTAAATTGTTCTGAATTATTTTATTTGCAGTTTCAGGACAATGTTTGTATGAAAGAAAAGTACCTAAACCGAAAGAGCTTTGACTGAAACTGAAAAATCGAATTTTCCTGCTGTAGTTCAGACTCAACTTTTAAAATAAACTGTGCACTTACCTTTAAACTTTTCTGTGGGTTTTCTCGACTTGTCGACTCTTGGTTGTGCCCCCGATTTGAGATGAATTCCAATGTGTTTTTCTTTCGCAGAACGAGCTTCGTCGCCAATAAATTATGAAATACTGCTTTTGGGGTAGCCCAATGATCGTCGGATGCGAGGCGGGCCGGGCGCGAGTACTTCCGAGTTCCGCTCGGTAACTCATCATCAACGCGCCGCGGGGATTCCCCCGGCTAACACAAAGAAACGAGCGGATTTGAGAGTGTACCCCCGAGAAAGGGGCGCGAAAAACTAAACCGATGCTGAGGACGCAATGGTTACTTGACAATGGCCTTGATTATTGCTTGATGGGACTTTGGTTACTTTTTTGGATGTAGATTTAATCTTCTTAGGTGCTTCTTAGCTTATGACGACATGCTTCGCCATGAATTCTACACAAATGCTACATTTACGGCTATTAGGAATGCCTTTTTTCTTGTCTATATCATTAACTTTTGTGTTGTATTTACTCCTAGGCTTACCTACACTTTTTACAGACCTTGTAAAGACAAATGTGACATTTAAAAGGCAACGTCTCAATCGATGTGACTGATATGCAAATAAGTAGAGCTTCTAAATGCGTTTTCGTGTTCGGTTTTGACGCCTTTGCTACGTGACTAGTGTCACTACGAAAACACGCGCTATGGTCTGCCATAGCACTTGCCCTAAGGACTTTATGGCAATGTGACAAAGTTTATTTTTGTACGCACATAACACTATCGCACACCTTCTTTGGACTGAAATTATCCAACCGCAGCATTCTTTTGTGCCAGTTCCATATCACTTCCGCACTCCTTGATTCGGATTCACACCACGTTCATATTTTGAAATTCAAATTCGGAAGTTTGGAAGTGAGAACGATAAGTAGGGTAGATGACACACACTAATAGTCAATTGACATACTTTTTGGAGCTGTCACAAAGCGTTCCTCTCCAACAAGAAATGACGTCACTTTATTGCCAAATCATTTGACTAATTTATCTAAAATCATATTTTACAGCTAATTGAAAACTAATTTAGTTTTTTAGCACTAGAAATATGTGTTGTTTTTGGCAAGTTGTATTTTGAAATTATTGGTCTAAGATGTCAAATATGAAATAATGTATAGTGTTAGCAATTCTTTTTTCTTTCCCATTGTTTTGGCGGACACAATATTATTATTAATCGAATAAATATAGTTAATTACAACAATTTTAAAATGTTACTATAGGTAAACTTTGTCTGAGGTGGGTGTAAGTAATTTTTTCAATATTAATTTAAAAAAAATAAGGTGAATTTACTTTTTCATTAGTTATTTAGCATTTCATACGAATTTTATATTGAGACTGGCGTCTAGTTGTCCCCAGATGGTTTTTGCGATCTGTCAATAACAATACGAGGGACATAAAACACTCGAGTTTTATAATTTGCCGATTCTAATAAATAAAGATTTCAGTCCTTACAGACTGGCGTGTCTAAAAACGACCGCCCGGACTGAATGCATTAGAATCCCGACTCTATTGTATTTTATTATACATACTTTTTTGCACCTCACCAGAATATATTTGCAATTTCGCTTATTCGATATCGTGAAGGTTTTTGCGTAACGTTGATTGCTTCCTATCTGATGCTTACTAAATATTTTGCGAGTTTCAGAGGCCAGGGCTACGGCTCTTTTGCTAAAAAATCGAATTTGAATCGCATCGTATCGCAATCACATTCCAAAGATGCTTTTGTTAATTGAGTGGTGGTGCTACGTGGCATGAATGACGTAGTAGCTGCTACGTCACTACGTGTACGTAGCTGCTCCACCGTAGACCGTAGAAGATAGTTCGTTCGTAGCAGATACAACGTGATGTTGTGGATTTTTTCTTGAATGTGGTTTATTTCACACCTTACGTCATTGTTTTTTTACGATAAATTATGTTGCTAATAATGTTTTTACATCGGTTTAGGTTTCTAGTTTTTTATTGTCATGAATTTTCGGGGATAAATTTAACTTGCAACGGTTGCAAGTTCTTCCTATAAATAGTTGCGTGGACGGGCCTGTAATGTATGTAATACAAAAAGCCCCTAGCTAGGGTTGCTCTGGGCGGGGCCAGGTGTCAGTCGCATGCAGATCTTATCTTGGCGATGCCGCCCGCCCGTCGCGTCGCGCCGGCGTCGCGTCGCTTGACGAAAATTGAAAGTATAATTAGTGTTTGTGTTTTGTTATTACAGTAAATGTCAAAGACAAATATTTTATTACATATTGTGTTAGGCAAAACATTTTTATATTTTCGAGGACGTCGCCAATTTTTTTGTGAATTTTCGGTATTGTGTAGACTGTAGAGTTATTTATTTATTTATTTAAAGACTTTATTGCACACACAACAATGTTCTGTACAAAAAGGCGAGCTTAATGTCATACGTCAGTTATGTACTAAATATCATCAAAATTACACGGACAACTCGAATCTTAAAATAATTTAAAAGGAATCTTTCGTCCTTAAAATTAACATTTCACATTTTCCCTAATTACCTATACATACGGGATAGTTGTCTTTATGTCTATATATAGACATCATGGAAAGTAGATCTCCATATTAGAACAAAACACTTATTACCTTTTCAAATTCGAAATATCTGCAATACTGGTTCATTTAATCACTCGCCTACTGCATTACTAAGCTGTAAGTACGCACAGGCCATAAGCTCATTGCAGTAACCGAAGCAAAACAATGTAGAGGCGATTGCGAAGCGTTCTCAGTAAACGACAATAATGTCCGCGTCACAATCAATTAATCGGGCAGTAAGTCCGAGCTGTATAACAGAGCACGGGTTTCGTGCGCCGGCTCACTAACTTAGTCAACCAATTACCTCCAATGTTCCACGTCGGCCCTCGCCCGCTCCTCTACCAGCAATATGTTAACATATTTTTTAATTTCTCTCCCAGACAGCTAAAGAGGCAATCGCGAGTGCATGCGCAGGAGTGAGATTTATAATAAGAAAACGCTCCTACCGCGCATGCACCATAAGGATCTATAAATCTTTAAGTACTGCATCGGCCAATCCCTGTTGAGAAACGATAAATCATCCCCGCGGACAGTGAAGTCGAATCGAATACGATCGCCGTCTCCCTCGCACTCGTCGCCTCGGACGCCGTTTAGATCATTTATCATTTCTGCCTCTCGTTCCTTCTCAATGATAAATTCAATTCTCTTTTGGAATATGATTGTTCCTCGTTTTGTTATTGTGGTGTTTTATTGTGGGTATCGTCACGGAGTAGGTTTTTTGATCGGAATCCGATCGAAATGATCGCGAGAATTGGATTTCCATTTTAGATTTCGTGCATCGAGCGATCAATCTTGCGGCGCTCGATCGAGTGACTCTTGTTTACGATCGAGGTCAGGAAAAAATTATGCATTGTTATGCGAATTCAAATCACCGAATTATGTCGGCCTTTATGAAAGCTTCTTTTTAATGATTGGAATAAAGCGGAGAGATCATTGACTCTATCTATGCCATGCTGTATCATAATCATTGTCTAAAAATTTACTATTAATTAATTTTATTTGATATTTTATAACTTACTAAATATGGAATGTAGGTAATGATCGGAGAAAAGGAAAAACATGCTTTTGAAATTGAAATATGTTTTTTTCTTTATTTCTCGCTATTTACAGGGCTGTAGAAAAGACAACAATTTCTTCTTAAAATAACTTAAAATACATCGCGCTCTTTCAGTCATTTATTTATAATATTATAGACATAGGTTCAACTTTATTTATTTATCTAAAATGTCGGTCCGTGAAAAAATAGTATACTATGAAATACATACATATTCATATAGTTCAGGAATAGTAGCACAATAATATAGCAACTACGCGAGTAATTTACAATAAAATCAATCCCTTATTCTATTATCACTGGGTATTTATAATTTATTATTTTTACACGAGACGTTACCTATCTTAAAGTTACTTTACACAATTTTACAACCTATAAATCGTAGTTTTATTAGACTTCGGTGCTTTGGCCATGCTGATCATTAATAAATTTATGTTACAAGACAAGGCTTCGTTTCAAATATTTTGCTAGTTATTAAGCGAAGACAATGTAGAGTTTATTATACGTGTTTTGATGTATAAATTAAATATGATTCTTTTGTTGCCTCCACTTATTTTGTTTTCTCGATAGTTTTTTTATAATAATATTGTTTGTACATCACTGCTTACTCTAAATAAAGGCTGCAATAAATCACTGTCAACAAAACTGTTGACAAAAATCTACGCTGTACATTGTAGCGTGTTCCATCACAAAGGCTCCCAAGATCCTAACGGACAATACCCAGAAACTCACCAAATTAAGGGGCATCTTGCGAGACTTTGTTTACGGAAATATACAACACGCTGTAAAACATTCAACTAGTGGTCATTGTCTCTAATCTCGTTGTCTTAGCGCAAACAACAGTACGACCATCTATTGTCACGACTACATTGTTACAACTTCCAAATAATTTATTTAGAGATAGAGTCTGGGACACATTAATTAAAACTTTAGGACGGTTGTTGTCTGGAACTTTAGAATGGTCGGATTTGTACGGACTATTTAGTATTCATAAATAAGCGTATGCACTTTCAGTAGCACTAAACACTGGATGCGCTTTAGCGAACTTTTCATTCCACGTCGGCAACGTGAGATCTTCTATTTTAACCAGATTTTATTTCTTACAGAAACATTGAAAAATAATAAGTAATTTATTAGATTTTTCTATTTTAGCTACATAGAAGCGTTCGGTGTCTAGCCGTCGAATGAAGAGTTCCCTAAGCGCGATGCGGTCAGTACGCAGCAGCTGCACCAGAGTGGTGCATCAAATGATGGTGGTGGTAGGACTCCTGCGTGGGACACCACCAGTCAGGCACTCCGTGGGGCACGGTCGGGGCCGGTTGCTGGAACTGCGTCCAGTGGCCACCGAAACCTAGTTTATTGTCCATGACACCGTTGCCCCCGATATTGGTGAGATGCGGTTGATGGTGTTGATGAGGGGGGGCTGGTGGTCTTTCGTAAGGTTTTTGGTCGTGGGGGTTGAGGTATTTGTCGTTGAGGCTTTCTAGTTTGTCTGTGATGGTGGGGTGGTGGTGCGGGTGATGTGGGTGAGGGGGTGCGGGGGCCGGGGGTGGAGGAGGGAGGGGCGCGAGTGGGCTGGCGGCGCCGGCGGTGACGCTGACGCTGCCTGCAGAAGAGGAATCGTCGCCGTCACTGTCGTATCGCGGTGAGGCGTCGCCCGCGGCGCCGTGCACCTTCATGTGCTTGCGCAGCGAGGACGGGTGCGTATACGACTTGTCGCAGCCGTGCACGCGGCAGTTGTAAGGTTTGTCGGAGGTGTGCACATGCGAGTGTTTCTTCCTATCCGACGAGTTCGCGAATCTTCGATCGCAGCCGGCGTATTCACACTTGAACGGCTTTTCACCTGTAAAGAAGGAAACGATTTCATTAATTAAGATATTAACATACTTATTATTATTCTGTGATATTAATAACGATTGAGATAAATCACAATTGAAAAGGTTTTTGTGACAATATTTTCCGGGACCAATGTAAAGGTTCAATATATTTTTAAAGCGTCTGAATATCGTATTTATTTATCTCCCCAGCCATCACATTTCAATCGGATCCCAAATGTATATCATCCCAGTAGACCGATTCGCTTCTTTCCCCTTTCAATCTAAGAATAAAACGATCGAGCGCCAAACGCGAATGTCCAATCACGCCATAAATAACCAGATTTGCTCGTTGTTTATAGTTTACGAGTACAAATAAATATATTCACAACAATTGCACGGGATACTTAACACGGCTATAAATCATATTTATAAGAAGACTTTGTCACAGAGCTGTAACAAAGCCGTTGTTGTGGCAAACGAGATTAAGCTTTAGGCGTTTGGGATGAAGACATATTATATTTGGAGGTATTGGATGAAGAGATTTTGTAGTTTACGCTAAAAAGAAGGCTTCACATTGACCGGCGCAGGATTGGGGTGACAATCAAGCTAAATCTGTCAAGTAAAATAAGTAGTGTGAACTGCAAACTATGAACGTTGAAAGGCACATTGCCTTACGATAATTTAGAGCCGATAAGATATTTTGTAATTCGTATACGACGTAGTACAATAGGCTAGTTGCCTAAAAAAATTTTTTTAGTCCGTAATGTTTAATATCAAAAAATATTGGACACGTATATTTTTATTTGTCAATCTAACAAATAATTACATAGTTATGGTGCGTTGAAGTTGCGCACGACGTCACAACGTGCGGCATTTTTAAGCAAGCGTTGACGTCACGGGCCTCTTCTTATGAACTTTGGGGCGCTTTATCTCTTTAAATTTTCATTAGTTTGAAAAAGTGAAAAATACGTGTAGAGTATTTTTTGATAAGTTAACTGACGGACTAATTAAAACTCTTGCTTTTTGACCCAGGCAACATCCCCATTACTACTAATTCTTTAAATGCATTTTTGTTAACATTGTTGGCTTATAGAGTTAATTGTTGTTAAAATCTTCTAGTATAAATCTGCCAATAACCGAATATGTAGAATATAGTTAACTATAATTATTTCAGTTTGTGATAAATAAATCATACAAGCAGGTGGACATTCTCGCAAAAACATAATTCTATGTAGAGCAAGGCCAAGTAGGTAATATTCGATATCGACCCCATTTTTTCTATACATTTTTTCCGCATATCGACAGCTTCCCGCGCCATTGATACATTCTTCGAGAGTTCACCGAATCGTGTGAGTAACATTCAATAACATGTTACAAGTAGGTTCTGGTGTGACCGCGTTCACAATGAGCTTTTTATTGTCATGTTTACAAATAAACCTCTCTGGTGTAATCCCCTGCATTGTGTTTGAAACTTGAGGATCGGTACGAAGCACAGATGCTAATCTCAAGTGTCTGTTAACGTGGCAAGAATAGGGCTTTTTACACGATCCCTCACCGCAGCGTTTGTAGTGTCGATGTTCTGAATGAATCACGCATTCATCAGCTATATTCGATGGGCTGTTACTTCCTTTCATGCGCCTTATTCACCTCAATCCACAGTGCGTATTAACGTATTTAGCAAATATTTTTCATGGCGGATTGGAAACACACAATTGGCCATATTGGAATGCATCGTATTTGTGTCATGCTTTAAAGAAATCGTAAAAATTCATTCATCATTTGGTATTGGTAGCAAAACCACAAGGAATCCTTATAGTTTAGCTGACGAAGCGCTAGAAATCTGTCAGGGTTTAACCGCTTGAGTCCCAGACGGCATTAATTAATGTCATAACAATTGATTTATCTATTGTGTCTAGATTCGCGGATCTTAAAGGATTAATAATGTTCAAAAGTACCCAAAGGTTTAATTTAACATGGCTAGTTCACAACTAGCCATGCTAGAATAGAAACTATGTCAATAGCTTTTTGTTGAATATGACTCTACATTTATGAAAACTACTTGAAGAAAAAGAAGAATTCTACTAGGTATATCTTTCGTTTGCAGAATAAGGCCTCTAAGGCCTAAGAATGCATTTTGTGATGGAAACTTCCGACTTGATAAAATTTTAATTTTATCTTGGTAACAACTAAAGAATTTAATTTCCGACCTAATTTTACAGCACAACCAATCAAGTCGAGGACACAATAAAACCAGAGATCATGTCATTCCAATAACAAAAAGGCTCGGACCCAAATCCTAATGAGCTAAAATACAATATAAAAGATCTAAAAGGATGTGTCGCCCGTCTAATTACTAATCGGAGGTTTGATCTTGATCCCACAAAAAAGAGCAGCGACAAACACTATTAGACTTCAGATACGTTATCTGCGCACGCGCCGGCGGTACACTCCGCGATAAACGTCTTATTTACATTACTAGAAAATTAGACTTCCATAATTGGACATCAACATCATTATTACACTCATTAGACAACAAGAATGTTGATTACTTAACAATTTACAACGAAATCAGATCAGAATGTTAACAAGATTTTATCCTGATCTAGATTACGTCCTGACACTGATCGATGCTAATTATTAATTAAATGTGGAGATGCGTCATTTATTATTTTACTATTGTGACTTTAAGAGGCTATTAATAGGGATTAGCTTTGGAGTCCGGTTTAATTTATAGGCTTATCAAATATTTTATTAGGCGCGTTTACAGGTAAGGCTCCAGACGCAAACATTTTAATACTCGAGGAAATATATTTGGTACAAAACAAAAAGAGAAAGAACATCAGTCGGGAATGCGCGTCGTGAATTCGTCGGATGCCGCGCCGGGACACGGGCTAGGGTCAGATGTTTATCTTAAACGGCTGTATCACCCACGGGAGACACTTTTTTGTGTTATTATCGATGTGAAACTTTATCTTGAGCTTGTTCGCCCAAAATGTATTTGACGGCTTAAACCTTTGAGAGGATTTGTGTGTAGATCGCTTGTGACATACAATCAAGGTAGTCTGCTTCTTCAGTAGCGGATCACTGGCACACGGTTGTAGGTTTCAATTTACGTTACGGTTTGATTTGATTATGAGAAAGCTATTTTATTTAAATATTTATTTTGAAACTTGGAGTACCTAAATTAAAATATTCAGTAGCCAAATTCAATGTTAATTATATCATCAAGGGAAAATTAATCAACTTGTAATAATAAACATTGAGATGTTCTGTGCTGAACGTCCAACCGGTTGGCACACCGCCTAGACCGAATTACACTCAGGAATCAAGTTTCAAAACGCTACTTAAGTGCGCTCTGCTGAGAAAACAGCTTTTTAGAAATAGCACGAGTTGGTGAAACCCGAGAGCGCGGCCTTTGCACCCAAATTGTGGTAAATGGCTTCGGGTGTGTTTGGAGAAAAAACAATCGACCGTCACCAGATATCAGGTTCCGGAACCACATATAAAACGCTATTTATTACGACTCTTGAACGATTATCATGAATTGGACTACTCGGACTACTGCGTGGCATGTCATCACCTTGAATAATAATGTAATTGGCGTAATTTGATATCCGCACACCTGTTGAGGAGACGGTATCATACCAGACTTTGTCTGCTATTCAATTTTTAAGTGCAAATGTCAACTGGTTCACAATGGTGTCACGTAATAAGTCTGGTTATGTAAGAGAATGGTAAGCGCTATTCAAATTAATACCAAATTGGGCAAAGTTTCTATAAAGACTGCGACTAACAGAAGAAAATTACAAATGCATAAAGAATTTATCAATCCTGAGAACTTAAATGATTACAACCACATTAAAAATGTTAATGAAAACAGAATAAACGGACTCTATCAATTTAATATCTTAAGTGTTCGCGGCATTGCATTGTTTCGATTATTAAACGCATATCGAAGTTAATTCAATCTCCAATAGACAGGCAGCTAATGAACGGCCGATGACTGGTCTTTTATTGACACACCCGTCCAGCTGACATGCTTACAACCATATCGAGATCGACCTAATGCGGTAATCGCTACGTTCAAGGACCACCACCACCTATTTAATAACCAATGGAATGACCATTGTTAACCAAGTTAGCTAGGCACTACCAAGATATTGAAGTCAAAGTGAAATACTACTTCCTATTAGCAAACTAGACAAACACTCAAAGAACCTCTCAGAGCTGTCACAATAATAGCTGATTGACGACACTTCTCGGAAATTTTCTCTCGCATATTCAAAAGGAATTTCGTACAGCGCATAATGATTTATGATCCTCCTTTTATCCGAAACGTATTTCGAATTAGAAAGATATATTAATATCTTCATTTTTTCCACTTCTCAGAGAATACGGCCCTTGTCCGGGCACAAAAAGAATATGCGGGGTCGGGCGAGCGCATTCGGCGCCCAACGACCGTGTGACAAGGTGCTTTATGCGGACGATAATGAGCGGACCGAATAATGTTCCGATACCCGATAAATATCTGCCAACTCATACAAAAGCATCCCAATAAAAATATAATAGTAAATGTAGCAACAAAACAAGCCACAAACTGCACAGTCATATCTCGCTGATAAATATAAATTAAAAAGAAAACGTGCTGCATGAGAGGAAGGACCGTGTGTACCGGACGAAAACAAATTAAAACTGATACAACATTCAACATGTTGGCGATGGCTTGGTGGAAAACTGAACATGCACTGGGTTCGCTGTAGCCTTTTTTGTCGTGGGCCTCTGTCCATCGACACTGATTCACAGCTTATACGGCCAAGCAGAAACAGATGCCCGTTGGTTGCTTTCATTACCGTCAATACTTACATGATCATAAACATTTAAATATCCCCCTCTATTAAAAATGACAAGGATATCAAAATGTTGTAGGTAACTGGATTTGCAATACCAAAGAAAAAAATGAAGTGCGTACAATTTGCAGAAAAGGTGAAACAGCAGTAATTAGATCTACATCAGCTCTTGTTGTTAA